TTTTCATACGTAATTATACATATATTTCAATACATTTATAAACCTACATCTTGCATCATCATGCTGGATTATGCAATAAACTGCTTCTCTTTTTCTAAATGTTTACACATAGTATACACAAACAGTAGCACTTATACTGTAATTTAATCGATATGATTCCATACACAACTTATAGTTTAATAAATAACTATAATCATAAATATAATCAAATGTATAAATAACTTATAATCAAAAAGGTTCTGGAAAATTGTGTTGCAAAAATAATGGAAATTTAACATTTTTTGTACGAATATCGAAATGTAATTACAGATTAATTGATTTTGCAATTAAATAAGCGCAGTGAAATGGTAAAAAATGTTGACAAATTTAGAATATAGACGCTATTAAAAAATCGTTACGTAATTCAGAGAGAGCACATAGGATTAAATATGCCTTAGAATTAGTTTCGTGATAAAAATTGAAAAATATTTCTCAATCTGTTTAATCGTCTAACTTTTAACTTTAAACAAATTTGACTATTGTGAATAATGATTCGATTGATGTTCACGAATGTGTGTAGGTAATTCCCTTAACACGTCACTTATACGACATGATTCACAAATTCTAGCAATCCTTGTGTAATGCGATATTATTAGGCGCGATTTCAATATGATTTTTTCAACAGAAGAATTATTAATATATGAATACAAATGTATTAAAAATAGGAAGGATTTAGAAATATATAAATAAAGATTTATAATAACGAAGAGGATTTACTGATACATAAATAAAGATTTATTAAAAATAAAAAGGATTTATAAATATATGAAGAAAGATTTATTAAAAGAGAAGATTTATTAATATACAATTCAAGATTTATAATACATAAATAAAGATCTATTAAAAATAAAAAGGATTTGTAAAAGTATAAATTAAGATTTATTAAAAATAAAACAGATGAAATGGATTTCAAGTTGAAATGCATCAAACATGACACAGTTATGTATGTTTGTATCCACTTAACTTACCGCGTAAACAACAGACGCTCGTATTTCTCCTCAGCAAAATTCGCGTCGCAAAGTCGAGAAGATATATTCGTAAGGCAACCAGATATGAAAAATTTTAGAAAAGTGTTTTTCACGCAGTTGTTGACCGCATTCTACAACCGCTATCATAATATTTCCTCTGAATGCATAATATAAATATGAAAATGAGGAAAGGGAAATCGCGAAATCGTTTCCAAGAATTCCAGTATGGCATTCACAATCACGATTCCGCGCACAATATTCGTGGAAATCGCGGTGTATTCACTGGCGAACTTGGCAGGGCTGCGGAAAAAATTCGCTGCTGGCGGGATCGTTGAATAGTACTGGACGAACTAACATTTCTTGTAAAACTCGCAAAATTCTGTGTCGAGACATTTTTCAACTGTGTTGCCAAGCTCAACAGAAAATAAGTGTTTCTTTGCGAAAAGTGTACGATATCGTCAAGAATTGTGCGATAATTTGCGTTCCGATAATTTCTTTTATTATTCGTTTCAAAACTACCAATTTATACTAAACGAACTAGATATAAACTACCTCTAGAACAATACGAAAGGAGGTTTGCATTCGTTATGTTAGGGGAGAATCGAATTATAAGTTAGATATGCTGAGTTGCAGATCAATCATCGAAAACTTTGCGAAGCTCAACAGAGTTAAGAGTCTTAATGCATCATCAAAGATTACGCGATTATTTGCATTTAAACAATTGCTTTTATTAATTATTTAAAAACACTCATTCATGATTAGACTGCGGATTTTTATGCAAAATAAAAATTGCCTAACAAGGAAAATCAATCAATTCTGGGACATTGCGGATACGTTGAGCACATAGTAAGAGACGAACACCGTTTTTAATCAAAATTGCGATTCATACAGCAGTAATTGGGACATTTCTAATGATTTTTGTGCCGCAATAATGAGCTCCCTCTTCACTTTAATGCACGAAATACTGAGGGGGCTTAACTTTTTTATTAGAAAATTAAGAAAAGTTTTTTCAAATATTTTTATTATAACAAAGCAGGTATCTAACTAATGAAAAAGCTTTCCTTGCTCCATTTGAAGCAGTATAAATACTGTAAAATGATTTGAACAGTAGTTATTTGACGATCGAGGAAAATGGTCTTATTTTTACCTTTTATGAGAAATGTTTTTCTAAATCCTTAAAAAATATGAGAATGATCGACGATCTTTTCTTTTGCTTCAGTGTGAATACTTTCGCATTGAATCGTAGAAATTTATTGATGACGAAACATTTATTTTTACGTATTTTAACAGTCGGAAAGTGAACGAACGGATGGTGAGTCGGAAGACGGTGCCGTGTCACATTTGACCCAAGCTGAATTAGTTTACTTTAGACGTTATGAATGGTTTTGTTGTGAGAAATGACCCGACACCGCTGGCGAATTGTTGATCTCATTGGGAAAACATCGCGGTAAAGCGTATACCCGCAGTAATAAGTACATTTCCCTAATAAATAAAAAATGACACGATCGCGTAAATTTGGCCGTGTTTACAAATGATAAGTGCGTGAAGAGTTGACTCGGTTTAACGGGATATTTCTGGATGCGTACACCTCAATATTCGACAATTGCGCATCCGCTACCTGGCCTACTTAAAAACTGCGCGGTCTTTCATTTCGGCGATGAACGGCGAGAAGTGTATCCGAGCCAGTAAAGAATATTCGAAACAGCGGAATTGCGTTTAAAAACTTGTCTGTGCCAGCTCGTAGGCGGCGCATCACACCGATTCCTCTTGATTAGGATGCGAAACAATTTTATGTTAACGAGATCATCATGATTCATCGTGAATCCCAGCGTATTATGCAACCTGACAAACAATGGATGCGCAATCACTGTTGCCTCGAAATTTTTGCAATTCCCGAAGCTGGCGTGAAATCTGGCCATTTTCAAATATCATTTATTTTATTCTCGAATTGTGGTTGCTACAGAATTTGCTAGCAACGAATATCGGTTGGAACGTCGAACTTGCTTCTTTCCACGGTTTTTGTAGCACTGCAGCGTTTGGCAGAGCTATACTCGCGTAGTCTGTACACTGTTTTTTATGGACCATGCTATTTGGAAGTGTTCCCGATAGACCAGCCAAAATGTGTGCTGGAGACAGCGAAGAAAATTTTGTTTTGTACGTTGCGACATGTCACAGGAAACATCAATTAGTTCCGTCTTTTGTTTTACTGATCAGACAGAATTATTTGGTATTGCATTAGGTGACGCAGAAAATTCGTTTCGTCACAATCGATAGAGATATTTGACACGTGACGTGGATCAAACAATATTTCACTCATTATAATGAATATTATAAAATTAATTATGAAATTACATAACGAACATCATGGAATTAAAATCATATACATTAAGTTCTCAGGCTTAGTTTTATTAAATTAATTGCTTTTATTTCATCGCGTGCATTTCGATGAAATAATTATTCAAATGATGAATTAAAAGAATTAATTATAAAATAACTTTATAATATAATTAATTACAAAAATTAATTGAAAGTAATTTTATTTTGTTGCGTTCCAATTTAGACGTTTATGAACACGTTGATCGCCCATTCAGAGGCCAGAAAAGCTCGATGAAATCAAAGCAATTTATTCAATAAGGTTAAATCAAATGTAGAACATGTACAATTAATCATCTAATGTTATAATCAATTTTTAGAAATCTAGGAAAACTTCAGAGTACTTGCGATATTCGATCTTGTTATATGCACATGGAATAGAACAATATCTCACAGATATATTAACAATATTTCTTGATGTCGTCGTTATCTGCATCATAAGGACGTGAGCTCCATCTTGATATCCTAAACACTTAATTTATCTTCCTGTGGATTCAAGGAACAAATGATGTCAGAAAAAACATTCATCATCGTCAACGTCTTCCTTCTTAGAATTTTTGTTCTTTTCCTCATGAAAGAGACGCTCCTTTCGTTTCGTCTTTCTCTGTTTGCCTTCCAGTTATTCTACGCAAGAAACGTATTTTTCTTTCTGAATCGTTATGTTTCTACACTGTGAGAATGTTCTTGTCTTGTCTCATATTTTGTGTTGTAAAGTTGTTGACATTAGGAGAACATTTTTGTAAAATAAATCGTGTT